CATCACATATTTCAGGCGATTTTTCAGAAATGCCATTTTCTTTCGATTCTGGAGGCTAAAGACCACGAAATCAGGTCAAGCCTATTCTCCAACGAGAAGTTTATTGATCCTATTCACCATGTATTAGCCCATTAAGCACCAATTTGGCCAAATTTAATTTCGGATGGCATTTTCGTAAATTTTTGGGCGACGAAAGACCATTTTCTTTTGATATTGAAGGCTACAGATCAGGGATTCGGCCTGAGGCTATTCTTCAACGATGATTAAGTCCATTAAGCACCGATTTGGGCGGATTTATTCCGGGTTAATTTTTGACAGATTCCAAAGTGGTACCATCATAGATTTCGGGCGATTTTTCCGAAATACCATTTTCTTTCAATTCTGGAGGCTAAATATCACGAAATAAGGCCGAGGCTATTTCTCCACCGATAATGAAGTCTATTGATCCTATTCTCCATGGATAATAAGCCCATTATGCTCCGATTTGAGCCAATTTAATTTCGGATGACATTTTCATAATTATTTGGGCGACGAAAGACCATTTTCTTTGGATATTGAAGGCTATATATCACGGATTCGGCATGAGGCTATAATTCAACGATGATTAAGTCCATTAAGCACCGATTTGGCCGGATTTATTCAGGATCAATTTTTGGCAGATTCCAAAGAGGTACCATCACGATTTCGGGTGATTTTTCCGAAAAGTTATTTTCTTTCGATTCTGGAGACTAAAGATCAAGAAATAATGAAGTCTATTGTTCATATTCTCCACGGATGATAAGCCCATTAATCACCGATTTGGGCCAATTTAATTTCTTATGGCATTTTCGTAATTTTTTGTGCGACGAAAGACCATTTTCTATGAATATTGAAGGCTACAGATCACGGATTCGGACTGAGACTATTCTTCAATGATGGTTAAGTCTATTAAGCACTTATTTGGGTGAATTTATTCCGGGTCAATTTTTTGCAGATTCCAAAGGGGTACCATCACTCGAAATTCCATTTTCTTTCGATTCTGGAGGCTAAAGATGACGAAATCACACCAAGGCTATTCTCCACCTATAATGAAGTCTATTGATCCTAATCTCCACGGATGGTAAGCTAATTAAACACCGATTTGAGCCAATTTAATTATGGAATGCATTTTCGTAATTTTTTGGGAGACGAAAGGCCATTTTCTTTGGATATTGAAGGCTACATATCACAGATTCGGCCTGAGGCTATTCTTCAAGAATGATCAACTCCATTAAGCATCGTTTTGGCCCGATTTTTTTGGGTCAATTTTTGACAGATTCCAAAGGGGTACTATCACAAATTTCGGGCGATTTAATTTCAGATGACATTTTCGTAATTTTTTGGGCGATGAAAGACCATTTTCTTTGGATATTGAAGGCTACAGATCACGGATTCGGCCTGAGCTATTCTTCAACAATGATTTAGTCAATTAAGCACCGATTTGGCTGGATTTATTCCGGGTCAATTTTTGGCAGATTCTAAAGGGGTACATCACAGATTTAGGACAATTTTTCCGAATATTTTCTTTCGAATCTATAGGCTAAAGATCACAGAATCAAGCCGAGGCTATTCTCCACCGATAATGAAGTCTATTGTTCATATTCTCCATGGATGATAAGCCCAATAATTACTGATTTCGGCCAGTTTAATTTCGGATGGCATTTTCATAATTTTTTGGGTGATGAAAGACGATTTACTTTGGATATTGAAGGCTACTGATCACGGATCCGGCTTGAGGTTATTCTTCAATGATGATTAAGTCCATTAAGCACCAATTTGGGCGAATTTATTCCCGGGCAATTTTTGACAGATTCCAAAAGGGGTACCATCACAGATTTCAGGAGATTATTCCAAAATGTCATTTTCTTTCGATTCTAGAGACTAAAGATCAAGAAATCAGGCCGAGGCTATTCTCCACCGATAATGATGTCTATTGATCCTGATCTCCACGGATGGTAAACCCATTAAGCACCGATTTGAGCTAATTTAATTTCGGATGGCTTTTTCGTAATTTTTTGGGCCACGAAAGGTCATTTTCTTTGGATATTGAAGGCTACATATCACATTTTCGGCCTGAGGCTATTCTTCAACTATTATCAAGTCCATTAAGCATCGATTTGGCCGGATTTTTTTGCCTCAATTTTTGACAGATTCCAAAGGGGTGCCATCACAAATTTCGGACGATTTTTTCGAAATGCTATTTTTTTTACGATTCTGGAGGCTAAAGATCACGAAATAAGGCCGAGCCTATTCTCCACCGATAATGAAGTCTATTGATCCTATTCTCCACGGATAATAAACCAATTAAGCACCGATTTGGGCCAATTTAATTTCAATTGACATTTTCCTAATTTTTTGGGCGACGAAAAACCATTTTCTTTGGATATTGAAGACTACAGATCACGGATTAGGCTTGAGGCTATTCTTCAACGATGATTTAGTCCATTAAGCACTGATTTGGCAGGATTTATTCCGGGTCAATTTTTGGTAGATTCCAAAGGGGTACAATAACAGATTTTACGCAATTTTTCCGAAATGTCATTTTCATTCGATTATGGAGGCTAAATATCACGGAATCAGGCCGAGGCTATTCTCCATTAATAATGAAGTCTATTGATCCTATTCTCCACGGATGATAAGCCCATTAAGCACCCATTTGGGCTAATTTAATTTCGGATGGCATTTTTATAATTTTTTGGGCACGAAAGACCATTTTCTTTGGATATTGAAGGCTACAGATCAAGGTTTATGGCTGAGCTATTCTTCAACGATGATTTAGTCCATCAAGTACCGATTTGGCCGGATTTATTCCGGGTGAATTTTTAGCAGATTCCAAAGGGGTACCATCATAGATTTCAGGCAATTTTTCCGAAATGTCATTTTCTTTCGATTCAGGGGCTAAAGATCATGGAATCAACTGAGGCTATTCTCCACCGATAATGAAGTCTATTGATCCTATTCTTCACGGATGATAAGCCAATGAAATACTGATTTGGACCAATTTAATTTTGGATGGCATTTTCGTAATTTTTTGGGCGACGAAAGACCATTTTCTTTGGATATTGAAGGCTACAGATCATGGATTCGGCCTGAGGCTATTCTTCAACGATGATTAAGTCCATTAAGCACCGATTTGGCTGGATTTATTCCGGGTCAATTTTTGGCAGATTCCAAAGGGATACCGTCACAGATTTCGGGGGATTTTTCTGAAATGCCATTTTCTTTCGATTATGGAGGCTAAAGATCACGAAATCAGGCCGAGGCTATTCTCCACCGATAATGAAGTCTATTGATCCTATTCTTCACGGATGATAAGCCAATTAAACACCGATTTGGACCAATTTAATTTCGGATGGCTAAAGATCACGTAATCAAGCCGAGGTTATTCTCCACCCATAATGAATTCTATTGATCCTATAATCCACGGATGATATGCCCATTAAACATCGATTTGAACCAATTTATTTTCGGATGACATTTTTGTAATTTCTTGGGGGACGAAAGGCTATTTTCTTTTGATATTTAAAGCGACAGATCACATTTTTGGCCTTCTGCTATTCTTCAACGATGATATAGTCCATAAAGCACCGATTTGGGCGGATTTATTCCGGGTCAATTTTTGGCAGATTCCAAAGGGGTACCATAACATATTTCAGGCGATTTTTACAAAATGCCATTTTCTTGCGATTATGGAGGCTAAAGATCACGAAATATGGCCGAGGATATTCTCCACCGATAATGAAGTCTATTGATCATATTATCCACGAATGATTAGTCCATCAAGCACCGATTTGGGCCAATTTAATTTCGGATGGCATTTTTGTAATTTTTTTGGGTGACGAAAGACCATTTTATTTGGATACTGAAGGCTAAAGATCACGGATTTGGCCTGAGACTATTCTTCAACGATGATTAAGTCCATCAAGCACCGATTTGACAGATTTATTTCGGGTCAATTTTTTGGAGATTCCAAAGGGGTACCATCACAGATTTTGGGCGCTATTTACAAAATGCCATTTTCTTTCGATTATGGAGGCTAAAGATCACGAAATATGGCCGAGGCTATTCTCCACCGATAATGAAATCTATTGATCCTATTATCCACGGATGATAAGCCCATTAAGCACCGATTTGGGTCAATTTAATTTCGGATGGCTAAAGATCACGGAATCAGGAATCAAGCCGAGGTTATTCTCCACCCTTAATGACGTCTATTGATCCTATTCTCCACGGATGATATACCCATTAAGCACCTATTTGGACCAATTTAATTTTGGATGACATTTTCGTAATATCTCGGGGGACGAAAGGCCATTTTCTTTGGATATTTAAGATGACAGATCACGTATTCGAGCTGAGGCTATTCTACCACGATGATTAAGTCCATTAAGTACCAATTTGGGCGGATTAATTTCGGGTCAATTTTTTGCAGATTCCAAAGGTGTACCATCACAAATTTCGGGCGATTTTTACAAAATGTCATTTTCTTTCGATTATGGAGGCTAAAGATCACGAAATATGGCTGAGGCTTTTCTCCACCGATAATGAAGTCTATTGATCCTATTCTCCACAGATGATAAGCCCATTAAGCACCGATTTGGGAGAATTTAATTTCGGATGGCATTTTCGTAATTTTTTGGGCGACGAAAGACCATTTTCTTTGGATATTGAAGGTTAAAGATCACGTATTCGGCATAAGACTATTCTTCAACAATGATTAATTCCATCAAGCACCGATTAGGCCAGATTTATTCTGGGTCAATTTTTTGCAGATTCGAAAGGGGTACCATCACAGATTTTGGGCGATTTTTACAAAATGCCATTTTCATTCGATTATGGAGGCTATAGATCACAAAATATGGCTGAGGCTATTCTCCATCGATAATGAAGTCTATTGATCCTATTCTCCACGGATGATAAGCCCAATAAGCACCGATTTGGGCCAATTTATTTTCGGATGACATTTTCAGAATTTTTTGGGCGACAAAAGATCATTTTCATTTGATATTGAAGGCAACATATCATGGTTTCGTCCTGCTGCTATTCTTCAACGATAATTTAGTCCATTAAGCACCGATTGTGGCGAATTTTTTTCTGGTCAATTTTTGGCAGATTCCAAAGGGGTACCATAACAGATTTCGGGCGATTTTTCCGAAATGATATTTTCTTTCGATTCTTGAGGCTAAAGATCACGGAATCAAGCCGAGGCTATTCTCCACCCATGATGAAGTCTATTTATCCTATTCTCCATGGATGATATGCCCATTAAGCACCAATTTGGACCAATTTAATTTCGGATGGCATTTTCGTAATTTCTTGGGGGACGAAAGATCATTTTATTTGGATATTTAAGGCGACAGATCACGTATTCGAGCTGAGGCTATGCTACCATGATGACTAAGTACATTAAGCACCAATTTGGACGGATTTATTCCGTGTCAATTTTTGGCAGATTCCAAAGGGCTACCATCACAGATTTCACTCAATTTTTCCGAATATCATTTTCTTTCGATTCTGGAGGCTAAAGATCACGCAATCAGGTCGAGGCTATTCTCCACCGATATTGAAGTCTATTGATCCCACTCTCCACGGATGATAAACCCATTAAGCACCGATTTGTGCCAATTAATTTCGGATGCCATTTTCGAAATTTTTTGGGCGACGAAAGACCATTTTCTTTGGATATTGAAGGCTGCATATCACGGATTCGCCCTGAGGCTGTTCTTCAACGATGATTAAGTCCATTAAGCACTGATTTGGGCGCATTTATGCTGGGTGAATTTTTGGCAGATTCCATAGGGGTATTATCACAGATTTCGAGCGATTTTCCAAAATGCTATTTTCTTTCGATTCTTGAGGATAAAGATCACGAAATCAGGCCGAGGTTATTCTCCACTGATAATAAAGACTATTGATCCTATTCTCCACTGAAAATAAGCACATTAAGCACCAATTTTGGCACATTTATTCTGGGTCATTTTTTGGCAAATTCCAAAGGGGTACCATCACAGATTTCTGGCAATTTTTCCGAAATGACATTCTCTTTCGATTCTTGAGAATAAAGAGCACGAAATCAGGCCGACGTTATTCTCCACCGATAATGAAGTCTATTGTTCCTATTATCCTCGGATGATTAGCCCATTAAGCACCAATTTGAGCCAATTTATTTTTGGATTGCATTTTTGAAATTTTTTGGGCTACGAAAGACCATTTTCTTTGGATATTGAAGGCTACATATCACGGATTCGCTCTGAGGCTATTCTTCAACGATGATTAAGTCCATTAAGCACTGATTTGGGCGCATTTATGCTGGGTGAATTTTTGGCAGATTCCATAGGGGTACCATCACAGATTTCGAGCGATTTTCCAAAATGCCATTTTCTTTCGATTCTTGACGATAAAGATCACGAAATCAGGCCGAGGTTATTCTCCACCGATAATAAAGACTATTGATCCTATTCTCCACTGAAAATAAGCACATTAAGCACCAATTTTGGCACATTTATTCTGGGTCAATTTTTGGCAGATTCCAAAGGGGTACCATCACAGATTTCTGGCAATTTTTCCGAAATGACATTCACTTTCGATTCTTGAGAATAAAGAGCACGAAATCAGGCCGATGTTATTCTCCACCGATAATGAAGTCTATTGTTCCTATTATCCTCGGATGATTAGCCTATTAAGCACCAATTTGAGCCAATTTATTTTTGGATTGCATTTTCGAAATTTTTTGGGCGACGAAAGACCATTTTCTTTGGATATTGAAGGCTACATATCATGGATTCGGCTTGAGGCTATTCTTTAACGATGAATAAGTCCATTAAGCACCGATTTGGGCGGATTTATTCCGGGTCAATTTTGGCAGATTCCAAAGGGATACCATCACAGATTTCAGGCAATTTTCCGAAATGTCATTTTCTTTCGATTCTTGAGGTTAAAGATCACGAAATCATGCCGAGGCTATTCTCCACCGATAATGAAGTCTATTGATCATATTCTCCACAGATATAAGCACATTAAGCACCGATTTGGGCCAATTTAATTTCATATGGCATTTTCGTAATTTTTTTGGCGACGAAAGACCATTTTCTTTGGATATTGAAGGCAGCAGATCACGGTTTCGGCCTTACGCTATTCTTCAACAATGATTTAGTCCATTAAGCACCGATTTGGGCGGATTTATTCCGTGTCAATTTTTGGCAGATTCCATAGCCATCACAGATTTCAGGCGATTTTTTCGAAATGCCATTTTCTTTCGATTCTTGAGGCTAAAGATAACGGAATCAGGCCGAGGCTATTCTCCACCGATAATGAAGTCTATTGTTCCTATTCTCTACGGATGATAAGTCCATTAAGCATAGATTTGAGCCAATTTAATTTCGGATGACATTTTTGTGATTTTTGGGCGACGAAAGACCATTTTCTTTGGATATTGAGGGCTACAGATCACGGATTCGACCTGAGGCTATTCTTCAATGATGATTAAGTCCATTAAGCACCAATTTGGGCGGATTAATTCCGGGTCAATTTTTGGCAGATTCCAAAGGGGTACCATCACAGATTTCAGGCAATTTTTCCGAAATGTCATTTTCTTTCGATTCTTGAGGTTAAAGATCATGGAATCATGCCGAGGCTATTCTCCACCGATAATGAAGTCTAGTGATCATATTCTCCACAGATGATAAGCCCATTAAGCAGCGATTTGGGCCAATTTAATTTCATATAGCATTTTCGTAAATTTTTTGGCGACGAAAGACCATTTTCTTTGGATATTGAAGGCTGCAGATCACGGTTTCAGCCTTACGCTATTCTTCAACAATGATTTAGTCCATTAAGCACCGATTTGGGCGGATTTATTCCATGTCAATTTTTGGCAGATTCCATAGCCATCACCGATTTCAGGCGATTTTTTCGAAATGCCATTTTCTTTCGATTCTTGAGGCTAAAGATCGCGGAATCCGGCCGAGGCTATTCTCCATCCATAATGAATTCTATTGATCCTATTCTCCACCGATGATATGCCCATTAAGCACCGATTTAGTCCAATTTAATTTCGCATGGCATTTTCGAAATTTCTTGGCGGACGATAGGCCATTTTCATTGTTTATTTAAGGCTACATATCATAGATTCTGCTTGAGGCTATTCTTCAACGATGATTAAGTCCATTAAGCACCGATTAGGTCGGATCTATTCCGGGTTAATTTTTGGCAAATTCCAAAGGGGTACCTTCACAGATTTCAAGCAAATTTTTCGAAATGCCATTTTCTTTCGATTCTGGAACATAAAGATCACGAAATCATATCGAGGCTATTCCCACCGATAATGAAGTCTATTGATCCTATTTCCCACGGATGATAAGCCCATTACGCACCGATTTGGGCCAATTAAAATTCGGATGGCATTTTCGTAATTTTTTGGGCGACGAAAGGCCATTTTCTTTGGATATTGAAGGCTACACATCACGGATTCTGCCTAAGACTATTCTTCAACGATGATTAATTCCATTAAACATCGATTTGGGCAGATTTATTCCGGGTCAATTTTTGACTGATTCCAAAGGGGTACCATCACAGATTTTAGGCAATTTTTCCAAAATGTCATTTTCTTTCAATTCTTGAGGCGAAAGATCACGAAATCAGGCCGAGGCTATTCTCCACAGATAATGAAGTCTATTGATCCTATTCTCCACGGATGATAAGCCCATTAAGCACCGATTTGGGCCAATTTAAATTCGGATGGCATTTTCGTAATTTTTTGGGCGACGAAAGGCCATTTTCTTTGGATATTGAAGGCTACATAACATGGATTCGTTCTGAGGCTATTCTTCAACGATGATTAATTCCATTAAGCACCCATTTTGGTGGATTTATTCTGGGTCAATTTTGGACAGATTCCAAAGGGGTACCATCACAGATTTTAGGCAATTTTTCTAAAATGTCATTTTCTTTCGATTCTGGAGGCTAAAGATCACGAAATCTGGTCGAGGCAATTCTCCACCGATAATGAAGTCTATTGATCCTATTCTCCACAGATGATAATCCCATTAAGCACCGATTTGGGCCAATTTAATTTCATATGACATTTTCGTAATTTTTTGGGCGACGAAAGACCATTTTCTTTGGATATTGAAGGCTGCAGATCACGGTTTCGGCCTTACGCTATTATTCAACAATGATTTATTCCATTAAGCACCTATTTGGGCGGATTAATTCCGTGTCAAATTTTGGCAGATTCCATAGCCATCACATATTTCAGGCGATTTTTTCGAAATGCCATTTTCTTTCGATTCTTGAGGCTAAAGATCGCGGAATCCGGCCGACGCTATTCTCCATCCATAATGAATTCTATTGATCCTATTCTCCACTGATGATATGCCCATTAAGCACCGATTTAGTCCAATTTAATTTCGCATGGCATTTTCGTAATTTCTTGGCGGACGATAGGCCATTTTCATTGTTTATTTAAGGCTACATATCATAGATTCTGCTTGAGGCTATTCTTCAACAATGATTAAGTCCATTAAGAACCGATTAGGGCGGATCTATTCCGGGTTAATTTTTGGCAAATTCCAAAGGGGTACCATCACAGATTTCAAGCAAATTTTACGAAATGCCATTTTCTTTCGATTCTGGAAGCTAAAGATCACGAAATCATATCGAGGCTATTCCCACCGATAATGAAGTCTATTGATCCTATTTCCCACGGATGATAAGCCCATTAAGCACCGATTTGGGCCAATTAAAATTCGGATGGCATTTTTATAATTTTTTGGGCGACGAAAGGCCATTTTCTTTGAATATTGAAGGCTACACATCACGGATTCTGCCTAAGACTATTCTTCAACGATGATTAATTCCATTAAACATCAATTTGGGCGGATTTATTCCGGGTCAATTTTTGACTGATTCCAAAGGGGTACCATCACAGATTTTAGGCAATTTTTCCGAAATGTCATTTTCTTTCAATTCTTGAGGCTAAAGATCACGAAATCAGGCCGAGGCTATTCTCCACAGATAATGAAGTCTATTGATCCTATTCTCCACGGATGATAAGCCCTTTAAGCACCAATTTGGGCCAATTTAAATTTGGATTGCATTTTCGTAATTTTTTGGGCGACGAAAGGCCATTTTCTTTGGATATTGAAGGCTACATATCATGGTTTCAGTCTGAGGCTATTCTTCAACGATGATTAATTCCATTAAGCACCAATTTTGGTGGATTTATTCCAGGTCAATTTTAGACAGATTCCAAAGGGGTACCATCACAGATTTTAGGCAATTTTTCCAAAATGTCATTTTCTTTCGATTCTGGAGGCTAAAGATCACGAAATTTGGTCGAGGCTATTCTCCACCGATAAGGAAGTTTATTGATCATATTCTCCACGTATGATAAGGCCATTAAGCACCGATTTGGGCCAATTTATTTTCGGAGGGCATTTTTGTAATTTTTGTTGGCGGCGAGAGACCATTTTCTTTTGATATTGAAGGCTACAGATCACGGATTCGGCCTGATGGTATTCTTTAACGATGATTTAGTCCATTAAGCAACGATTTGAGCGGATTTATTCCTCGTCAATATTTGGCGGATTCCAAAGGGGTACCATTCAAATTTCAGGCGATTTTTCAGAAATGCTATTTTCTTTCGATTCTTGAGGCTAAAGATCACGGAATCAAGTCGAGGTTATCATCCACCGATAATGAAGTCTATTTTTCCTATTCTCCACGGATGATAAGCCCATTAAACACCGATTTTGGCCAATTTAATTTCGGATGACATTTTCGTAATTTTTAGGGCCACGAATGACCATTTTCTTTGTATATTGAAGGCTACAGATCATGGATTCGACCTGAGGCTATTCTTCAACAATGATTAAGTCCATTAAGCACTGATTTGGGATAATTAATTCTAGGTCAATTTTTGGCAGATTCCAAAGAGGTATCATCACATATTTCAGGCAATTTATCAGAAATGTCGTTTTCTTTCTATTCTAGAGGCTAAAGATCACGAAATCAGCCCGAGGCTATTTACCACCGATAATGAAGTCTATTGATCCTATTCTCCACGGATGATAAGCCCATTAAGCGTCGATATTGGCCAATTAATTTTCGAATGGCATTTTCGTAATTTTTTGGGCGACTAAAGGCCATTCTCTTATGATATTGAAGACTACAAATCACGGATTTTTTATGAGGCTATTCTTCAACAAAGATTTAGTCCATTAAGCACCGATTTGGACGAATTTATTCCGAGTCAATTTTTTGCAGTTTCCTAAGGGGTGCTATCATAGATTTCGGGCGATTGTTCTGAAATGTCATTTTCTTTCGATTCTGGAGGCTAAAGATCATGAAATCAGGCCGAGGCTATTCTCCAGCGATAATGAAGTCTATTGATCCTATTCTCCACGGATGATTAGCCCATTAAGAACCAATTTGGGCCAATTTAAATTCGGATGGCATTTTCGTAATTTTTTGGGCGGCGAAAGGCCATTTTCTTTGGATATTGAAGGCTACAGATCACGGATTCGGCCTGAGGCTATTGTTTCAACGATGATTAAGTCCATTAAGCACCGATTTGGGCGGATTTATTCTGTGTCAGTTTTTGGCAGATTCCAAAGGGGTACCATCACAGATTTCTGGCAAATTTTCCGAAATGTCATTTTCTTTCGATTCTTGAGGCTAAAGATCAAGAAATCAGGCCGAGGCTATTTTGAACCGATAATGATATCTATTGATCCTATTCTCCACGGATGATAAGCCCATTAAGCACCGATTTGGGCCAATTTAAATTTGGATATCATTTTAGTAATTTTTTGGGCGACGAAAGGCCATTTTCTCTGGATGTTGAAGGCTACATATCACGGATTCAGCCTGAGACTATTCTTCAACGATGATTAAGTCCATTAAGCAGCACCAACTAGTGCGCAAGGAACACGGTTGTGTCCTGCCCCCTGTCCGCCAGTGTTCTGCTGCCTCAACCAGCCAGCCCTCTCACTAAAAAGCACGGGCACGTTGGGGGAGAAACACGGCCGTGTTTTCAACCCCGCGCGACCGTTGCTATTTTAGAGAACACGCTCTCGGCCCTCAAAACACGAGCGCGCCACACACGGAACACGACCATTTTCCTGGCCCACCCGTGTTTTGGTCCCCCTTGTAAATTTAAAAATCCGGCATGTTCTCTCTCTCATCCTCCATTTTCAAAATCCTTCCTCTCTCCTCTCGCCGGAAAATCGGCCTCCTCCTCTCCCTCGGTGGTGTTTCGGCCAAAACTTTCTCCCCCGACCTCCAAATCAAAAACGGAGACCACCACCAAGCTCCTAGCGTCAGGGAGCACATTCCCCTGAAGTTTTGTTCCATTTGGAGGAGGTCGGGTTGTCGGTGATGAGGCTACGACGAAGCTCCCGCGAGGTCTCCGGGTTTTTTTCATGCGAAGTTTTCTGGTGTCCTTTTGCTTCCTCTCCCTTCCCTCGTGGTATCTTCTTGCATCTCCAGGTGTGCTTCTCATTTTATCTTGGTTAATTCTAGAGAATTGATACCTAGGATTCTAGATGAAGAACTTGAGATGTATGTTTGAATTTGGGTCCGCTTGGTAGGCCGATGGATTTTATGTGCTTGATGTGATATTCCCTTGACTTAGTTTCGCCGGCCTACCAATTTCAAGTGTAGAATTCTACCCGTTTTTGCTTATTGGAAATTGCTTGGTGTATTGTAGATTGGATTGAAGTATGTCTTTAGAGTGAATGTTTATTCCACTGGGAGCCTAATCCATTGTCCAAATCTTTCGATTTGAGGGCTCCCAGTGTGGTTTTGCCTAACAATGGAGAGGGTTTCGTTGAGGAGTGAGGATGGTTATTGAGTAGTCTTCTAAAACAAATTGGGAAGTGAGTTTGGTCCGCGGATTAGTCTGGTAAACTGAGGTCTGGACCATACCAAAAGACATACACATCCTATAATTCATATCATTGACCATATTAGACCACTCTCGGCAGTTTATCCTTCGGACCAAAGTGTACAGTCCGGTTTGGTTCACGACTTTTTAAGCGATGTGATCTATTTCCCAAATAGTAATTGGGCCTTCCATTGTAGGCGGATGAGGGGCCTACGACCTACCATTTCACAAGTGGTTCCCTTTTCAAGAGAAACAAACTGCTCACAACTTGAATTGCAAAGGAGCCAAGTCGAGTCAAATTTTGACCTAACTTGAGCTCGACTAGTTTAACGAGTCGAGCTTGAGCATTGCTTGTTTACAAAAACATTGGCTTGTATTTGACTCGAGCTCAACTCATTAATCAGCTCGCGAATTTTACTCGAGCTCGGCTCATCAATTAGCACTTGATATTAGCTTGAGCTTAGGTTTCATATCATTTAATTCAGTTGTATTGTTCATATCATGTTGTTTAATAGTAATTAGTATATGAACAATTTATGATACATAATTTAGACATATTTGATCACATACTCAATTTATTAAATATCCTATATGATGAGATATATAAGCTAACAAACCTATGATTTATCAACAAGAGAATGTTAAGCTATTAATTGATTCACTTATAAGTTACAAGTTGAGACGGCTCGATTGTCATATTGCCCGGCAAGCTCAAAGCATGAAACGAGCTAGCTCCCGAGTCGAGCTCAACAAGCTATTGATTCAAGCTGGTTCATGAGCCTAGCAAGCCGAACAAGAGTTTCGAACGAATTTCTCAAGATTTAAACATCGAGCGCTCATAACAACTTGGCTCATTTGCAGTCCTACTCACAACACAATCAAAAACCAAACTCGAAAAGAGAGAATCTCACTACACTATTACTACCCTTCTGAGTATTGTGACTTGAGAGTTGGCTCAATGTTAGAACTTACCCTACCTCTTGTACACAATGTCCAAAATCAATCAACAAAGCAAGTTTACAGAATCTTGCTAAACAGTCATCATGTATAGAGCGATAGGGCTCAACCCCATCCACCAATTCAACCCTCCTACTCTACACCGAAGGGTTTCGGCTAAAGCGCTCGACTCCTCCGTCTATGTATACTTCAAACCTTGGTTGAGTCATTTTCAAGGCCAAAGTTGGCCAATCAAGCACACATATAGTAATAGTAGGTTGATAGATACCATCACGTTGAATTGATAATATTATAACCATAATATTATAACCAACGAAACGAATGATCAAATTTTATCAGTCTCGTGCATACACACTACATCCTTCCCCAAAATAAGACCCCTGTGCAATAGTTATCCTCGTGATTCAAAATCTGACCCACCTTGCCATTTTCGTCCCGTCTAAAGAGCAACCCACACTTTCTTTTTCAAACATGTACAGCTAGCTTCACGCACTGTACCATAGATGATAGATCAAGAACACCATTGAAGGGCTCACTCGAGTAGGGTCACCTGCCAAATCAACCCCCCCGTTTCCAGAAATCAAACAAAAGTACTAAACAAGAACAGAGCTTTGGGGGGGAAACAGGGGAAGTAATGGAAACTAGAAAGGATGGCGTAATAGTTTGTTCTGTACAGACTACAGAGTACTCTTTCTACTTGTATAAAGGTCACAAGTGGGCAACCCTACTCTGCAACAAAAGTAAACAGATCACCACAGAGTTTGTCAATCCCTCTCTGTAATGCAAATGTAAGGAGGAGATGACCCACTTCCAGTCAACTCATGGTTGGAGAGAGTGTGGTCCAATTCATGTGAATAATGGTTGCACATATTCGCTACAGACAAGATCCCCAGAATTATCCCCCAAATCTTGGTCCAGGGGAAGTGGGGAACATTTTTCCAAAGAGCTTTGCTTCCAATCATGGAACAGCCATCAAAAGGGGGTTCCATTAACACAGATTACATGAAGAAAAAAAGCCAGTCAAACCCAGAAGCAAGGTTGTCAAAACAGAGTAAGAACTAAGAAGGTGAGTGAACATATGCTGGATGGTCATCGTTTAGTTATATTTTTAACTGCAAGGTAAACCATATTAACATACAGAGGGAGTAAAAAACAACAATTTTTTTTACTGTAGAGCTGAGATGGAAATGAGTGTGCCATTTGGTACTACCATTAGACTATACATTCTGTCAGCACCCATGTGCATGAAGAGCATGCCTTCCCCACATGTGGACCTATAAGCAACCATTGAAAATAGAGACAAAAAAGTACCCACCAAGAGGCAATATACCTAGATCATTTAAAAAGGAAACCTGTTTCAGTTTCACCTCCCATCCAACTTTTCACAACTTCACCTGTCTGTCTGCATGATTACAAAAGTGAACAATAAAATACCCTAATTCCAACAACTATACGATTAAAAGTGATGATTAAAAAGCTTGGGAGTAAAGTAAGAGCTATAAAGTCATGATCTTGCTTGCACCCATCTTCGGAAGATCACACATGGGATTCAGGAGTAGTACCTGTGGAACTGCATGAGCAATCAGTAGACAGATGCAACTTCTGAACCAACTAAGTGAAGTGATTCACTAACAACATGATGGCAAAAAGACCAAAAGGATTTGCAAGTGACATATAACAAGATACATCCTCTTCTCTTTTTAGTATAACTGTCTAGCACACAACTACCAAATGGGAAGCCAGCAGCAAAATAACAAAGAGAAACCCTACTAAATTTACTTCTTCATCTGTTCGTTAAGTATGTAATATGCATTTCCTGTTAGTAGTGTCGTATTTTGAGGATGTTGATCACGACAGGCAGGCTTTCCAAGATACTCTACATATCTACCATTCAACTGCATGTATGATTTTGGGCTTTATACACCTACATAGACCTGTGCCCCTTATATCTCCGTCCCTATTTTTCTGCATAAAAAACCATAAACACAGAGATGTCAAAACAGGAGCACCTCCAAAGCTACAGATACTTCCAAGAGAATTCTAATGACTTACACTAGCAATGTCAATCTCTGTGGGCCTGTTAACATTATTACTACACATCTTAGCTGCACATCCAAAACAATGAACAAGATTAGCATCATGGCGAAAAAGAACCAAGAGAAGACACAGTCCAGAAGAACAGCAGCACCTTTTTGCCTTTCCAACCACTGAAGCTAAAGGGAAGTAGTATCACTTGGGGAAGAGCTTGACACGGCTGAAACACTCTCCAAATATGATTTTGATTGAGAAGCAACAACGGCATCACGAGGATCATGTTCAGCATTGCTCCCATGACTACAATCAACACGGTGATTTGAAGAAGAAATCAATAGCAGAATCGTGTGAAACCATACACTGCCTCGACACGAATTCAATTTCAGTGCATGCCAAACTTGTTATGCTTTACTCGTGAAACTATGTTTATTTAGCAATGTTGTTGAGCAAGGAGAATTCGGATATTAAAGGGCAGGCAGTCAGGCACACACCTTGAAGTTGCCATATGGTACAAACAAGAAAGAAAATGACTAATCAGATTAAGCTGCCTCAAGTTGCAACAAGCATCTAAAAACTACAGCATCCTTACCCTAACAAAGTCTTCATAGAGGAGAATGCATTCAATATCTCAAAGATGGAAGATGGAAGAAAAGAACAACTACAGACTGAAAAATTCATACTAATGTATGATAATTTGCCCAAGGTACACTGTCAAACACACCGCAAGAGCAAGTGACCGTACCAGTTATTCATGTTGCTCGCCACGTTATTTATATTCTCTTCCTTATTACTGACCATGTTGCATATGGGTTTCACTTCAGGCTGAAAGTTTTGATGGGCAGCTTCATCAGCAGCAGACAAAGCAGAGCTCTCAACATTTTCTGGAGTGCAACAGTAAAAAAATTAAAAAATAAAAAACTTGAGACAAATATCTAGTTGATAACAGAGAGATCCTCCGTGTTTCAATTGTATAGACGGGAGACAACCGTAAGAGTAACTGCCCATAATAAACTGACCTTCCTCACTCTTGGCTATCTTTTGATTGATAGGGGAATGGGTAGACATTGAGACACCACCCATGGACAGGCTACGTTGATGATGGTTGACATAATCACCTCGCAGGTCTGGGAGTTGCAGATTTATGAACCTGCGTCCTTGAAGCTCAATAGCTTGCTGCAGCTCAGCTTGCTCCTCTAACTTCCTTCTCAGCATCATTTCCTGTGAATTGTAAGGCACTCTTCCACCTGAAAACATAGAGATTAAGTCATCTACAAGGATAAACATTTCAAGTGGAAGAAAAGAAGAATAAAAAAATGAGTTATCTCAAGGAATCATATACTTCTCCAATTTCAATTTCCCACATACCCATCGGAAGATCATATAGCTCCCTACCATCGAGACCAGAAGGACTGGAACATGGTGAAAAATTTCCCCTCTCCAGTAACTGGTGATGCAGATGATGATGCCTCCTGCTTTTTTACATCCACAAGTAATACAAAACAATGCTATAAGCAGCAAGAAAAAGAAAGCGGTCTATGCTACCAACAAAACCGGATCATCAAGGGAAAAATAGCCCCCTACTCCGTTGCAGCTTTCCCTTTTTCCTTGTATGGCTTGACAAGCACACGTGAATCACAGATAAAATGAGGGTTTCCCCTGGCCAATATAAGCTTCACTGTCTCAGAATGCACAAACGTAACAAATCCGAACATTCGCTTCTGCTGATAAGGGATCCTGACATCTTCAACTGGTCCAAATGTGCTTCAAAACAGGGGGGTGAAAACTCGGTCAGGAACCTCAAATGTCAATCAACAAGAAACATCAGAATCAGCTTCACCAACAGATAAGACATCCCACTAATCATAGCAAACTCAAGAACTTAGACTACATCATATCCAGATAGAAGTTAGTCTCACAAAATTATTGTACAAGAAACAGACTAACACATTCTTTTATCATGTCCAAAAACATATGTATATGTTCAAAGTAAACTATATGAACCGCAACTTAGAATGTGAAGCATTGGAAACTGAACGAAACAGACATTCAACACCAGGAGGGTGCAGAATTGTGGCCTTGTCAAATATTAAAGCCTTACCTGAAATAATTTGAAACATCCTCATCTTTGAATGTGCTATCTGCTGGGAATGTCAAGTAGATTTGTCTAGAAGCCGAATTTGCTTTCTCAGCCATTGCCATTGCATAAAATTCATTTCTTTCGGGACAAAACCGGCCAAACTTTTGAAATTCGTCACTGTTCATAGCTGCTGATGCTCCTCTCAGTCTGCAATGAATAAAGACACATACATTAAGTTAGCTTAAGCAATTGGTACATGCCATTGGCTGAGATAGTGAAGTGCAACTAAAAGCCTATTATCTGAGCAGTAACAGAATTTCCAGCCAAATGACTGCTTAATTCAGGAAAAGTACGATGAGTTTTGTGATGACAATATATGACTATGCCTAATTAACATGAACAAGTGATATTAAAAGGAACACCATGTAATAGGATATACAGAGCGCAACAGAGACAATGGTGGCAGTGGCAAACACAAGTTGCTTAAGCAAGCAGCAGCAAGCAAATGCTATCCGACAACAAGAACTAAACAAAGCCGAAGTATGGTAACAGCCTCAGTTGTACAAGTCAACTTACATATATCTAACAGATGATAAAAAATAAAATTAAAAATAGTACAGCTGCAAATAACTAGGGCAGCCGCTATTCCTTCATTCCCCAAAATCCCAATATCTACTTACATTAAGCCAATACGCAAAACAGGACCCAAATAACCAAAAACAACAATTTAGCAAACCTCACTTTGACACACACACAAAAAAAAAGTAGCATCCTCATAGACAAACAACAGCATTACTGGGATAAGCTCAAACTCGACATGCACATTAAACCTACATATACCTCTGTGGATCGTTCTGCTGCTGCAACAAGAAGTTCATGTATTTGGTGTATGCTAATCTCTGCTGCTGATGATGCTGAGCGGCCTTCAATCTCATCATCCCTTCATGCTGCTGCAAGTAAAGGCTCTCCATTTCCCTCGGTGAACCCACCAAAGCACGACTATTCAAACCTGTAAAAATGATAATACAAACAAACACAAA